AAACTTAGTGCACACAAATATCACAAAGTAACATTTATATAGAAATCAGGGTTCTCTGACATCTTATTAGCCAATTGACTACTAATACTGATATCCATGCACTTCTTGGCTTCATGGCTTGAAGAATATTGTTAGCAATTATTTCTTTACCATATTTTAGCAATAAAATAATTCTGAGCAAGAGTAGTCATTATGTAAGTAAATACAATAAAGCCTATTTTAAAAAATTTTGTTGACCATATAAAATAGAAATTGTTGAGGAGAATCTTGTAATGTCTTTTAGGTATTCAAAACAGTATTTATTTACCCAACCATTAAACTAAAATATTTATTAGCCACTATAAATAGTACCAAGTACTGTGCTAGGAATATGAGGATTCTAAGATGTGGATTGTGACATCAGTATGAGTTATTCCACAAATGAAGCTAAAAAGCACCCACTCATTTCACTAACACTTGAATTCGTTCTTTGTGGCAGGTATTGAAACAGCACCAATGAATGAGACAGATGTGGTAGCTGCTCTCACGTAGCTCATCATATTCTAATATAGGAGTTTTAGAAGGATCCTTGTGCTTCCTGGAACCCTGCACTTTCTCTGGACATTCTAGTGAATGTCTGGAGAGGAGCCCTTCTAAGCTGAGGCAGATCCTGATCCCGAGGAGAGATGCGGAATTATTAGTCACCAGGCATTCCTGGGGTAAAAATGGACTGGATGCCGTCACTCTTTAGTCACGTGGAGCCCAGCTAAGGAATGTAGGACGCATCTTAACAGCTCAGGGCACTCTCCTTATTAGAATCTTCTTTCCCTGGAGCCTGGCTTCCTCTGAGATCTCATGTAGGGTTTCTGACAAGGGGCCTTCTGCAGAGAGTCCGTCTACCAGAATTATAATTCTGGAATCTTTGATCACTGATATGAATTAAGTTGTTTAAGCTCTGATAGGGGTCCATAATTAGCACAGAGAATGTTCTTGCTGATCTGATGAGTGGAGAGATCATGAACTAAGCTTGGTATTTTCCATCTCTAAAATTTTGATATGAGATTGCTTAGGCAAAAGACCTCGAGTTGTGGAACGTGTAATCAGGCACCACTAGATAAAGTGACATGTGCTCTGGAGGCACTACTGACCGCTCTGGGGCCGTTACCCCATCGCCTCTGAAGAGCAGAAAGAAGCACACATTTTGAGAAAGTGTGTTGTGTCCTTTTCAGACAGAAAATCCATGACCGTTCTGGAATAAAAAAGGTATGTGATTCTACTCTTAATATAAGCAACTGCAGTATTTAAAAACTATGAAATTCTGTTCCACGACTACTCATTTGGACATTTTAGTGGTTACAGATTCCTAAATAGATTGATAGGTTCTTCTGAAGACTGGTCACAAATTAGATGTACTTATTTTTTTTATAGCAGCAATTTCTGGTTATTTAAGGACAAAATTGGAACGAGCTTTGAGTGTTAAATTGTCGTTCCGAGCTTAAAAGTTGAATGAATAAGAAAATGTCAATTCCCATTTTTAAAAAGAAATTTGCAAGTAAGTAAAATCAGAGCACAGTGAATATTATGCACACACGTAATGGAAAATCTACCACTAAAATACCTAGGCACTTGCTTTTAAAGACTTAATTATAGCAATCCATGGTAAAGCAGAGACGAGAAATCAGGCTTCTTGATTTCTAGAGATATTCTTATCCATGAAATCACATGTCATCTTTGCATCCTTATCCCTTATTTGGATAAGCAACACAAATAGAAGTCCATTACCATAGATGTAGCAGGTATTAGTTCTCTGCTTTTCAGGTGTCTGCCTGTTTCCTGTCTATTATCTATCCATTGATCACAGCTGGGGGTTCCCCCTGAGTATATACCCCTCTGAATCATTCCCATCCCTGTCTCCTTACTCAGTGACACTTCCAATGCATTAACTCCTTAGTAGCCTCTAAACAGCTAAGAAAGTAGTTGCAAGGCTAATTATGGCTAAAGGGCCCACCTAGCTAAGAGCATCTTAGGACTTAAATAGTGAAATGGAGACTTTACCAATGGTATCACAGCTACAGAAGCTTTTGATGATGGATAAGGTAGTGATACTGACATGGGAAACAAACCTCCAGGGCATAAGATGGTGGTTATAAAGGCTACGTACAGAATTGGAAGAATTCTCTGGCAAGATGATCAGGTATCAAGGGTATCCATGCACCTTCACCAGTGCTAGCTTGCCCATTCATTCATTCATTTTAAACCACTTTATTGGGGTATAACTGACATATTAACAGCTGTGCGTATTTATTGTGTACAACTTGATAAGTTTGGGGATAAGTAAACATCTGTAAAATCATCACGATTTATGCCATAAATATATCCATCACTTCCAAAAGTTTTCTCTCTCCCTCTTTATTATTTTTTGTGATAAAAACACTTAAAGATCAACTTTCTTAACAAACTTTTAATATATATTAATTAATGTATTATTATGATTATAACCTATGGGCACTATACTATACAGTAGCTCTCTGGGATTTATTCATCTCTGACTCATTTATTTTTTATTTATATGTATTTTTAAAGTTTACTTTTTTTTTTTTTTAAGAGAGAGTTAGCACATGCATGCAAAGGGGGAGGAAAAGAAAGAGAGGGAGAGAGAAAGAATCTAAAGCAGGCTCCCCATTGTCAGCACAGAGCCCATGTGGGACTCAAATGCAGGAACCATGAGATCATGACCTGAACCAAAATACAGAGTTGAGTGGGATGCTCAACGCACTGAGCCACCCAGGTGCCCCTATTTTTTCAATTTTCTAATTTGAAAGGTGAAAATGATATTGTATTGTTGTTCTAACTGGCATGTCTTTGATTAATTAGGAGGTTGAAGAGCCTTTTAAATGTTTATTTTCTGTTTGAAATTCTTTCACTGAGTGCCTACTATATTCTAGACACTATGTTAGGTGCTGGAGATACAATAGTTAATAAAGCAAAATGTGAAGTTCATTTCAGTCCGAGAGACAAACAATAAAAACAAAAAACAAGCCAATAAGGTTTTTACCATTTCAGGTAGTAAGAATGCTATAAAACACAAAAACAGTATGTAGAGACAGAGTAAAGGGGCCCATTATTTTAATAGGGTAGTCAAAAAGAGGTTCTCTGAAGAGATGATATTTGAACAGAGTGAAGACCAGTATGCCATGTGGATTCTTGAGTTAAGAATCCAGACATAGGGAAAAGCAAGTTCAAAGCTCCACACATAGAGAGAAGCAAGCTCAAAGCTCCTGAAGTGGGAACATGTTTGTCTGCTTGAGGAACGGCAATCAGGTCGGTGTGGCTGGAGTCCAAGGAGCAAGGGAAAGCACGGTGGGAGCCAATGGGGTTGCAGAGACAGGAGGCCGGATCATGCAGCGTGGTGCGAGAGGCCTCTCTGAGGTGACCTTTGGGCTGAGCCCTAAATCATGCAGAAGCAAGAAAAGAGAAGGAAAGGTGCAGAGCAAGTGCCACCATGGGAGTTAAGACAAAGGGAGAGTGAGAGGACAAACGGTCACAGAGATAGAAAACGGGCGCAGGAAGAAGACTGGATTATCAATAGTAAGAGGTGGCTTTTGGAGGCTTTATGTTGGGGTGTAATGCAATCTTCTGGAAGCTGAGAGTTCTTTCGCTGTGGTGTGGAAACTAATTTGGCAGTGCTGGGGTACGGGAGAATAGGGGACCGAAGAAGGGATTCTTGCTAGAAAGATCTTATATAAACAAAGTACCTAAAACACCTGGTCCTTTTAAACAGACACAACTAAATACTTGACATGACAGAGTAGAAATACAAGTGACTAGACTAGAAGATTCCTGAGGGCAGGGGTTTTATCTGGTTTGTTCCCTGTGTATCTCCAACGCCCAGAATAACGCAAGTCTGGCACACAAGAAAAATTGTTAAATTAAATGAACAAATGACTATGCAGAAGAGCCTTTAACTAGTGAAACAAGAATCAGATGAAATGAACCAACAGAAAAGAGCTTCAGAGAAGAGCCTCATGGGCTATAGAGCCAGTGTCACAATTACACAGTGCATCAGAGTAGGAGACAGATTTCAATCAAGGATGAGTACCTGAAAAATAACAGAATACTAAAACAGGGCTCAAAACACAAGTTTAAATGTAGCTGGTTTCTCATAAACTTCTTCTCACCCCTTAGACTATGAGTGTCTATGTGGCAGGAATTATGTCTTCTTTTCAACTCTCCCAGCAAGAGCAGAACACATTATGTGTGTACTCCATAAATGTATATTTAGGTTGCTGGAATCCTACTGAAGAAAAGCTAGTGCATAGGCAAGATGCTTATGGAAAAAAATTCGGACAACTTGGCAGCATTTATCATTACTAACATTTCAGTCTTCCAGAGTAAACTTTGAAATTACGTTCTAATTTGAGATGGTTCTGGTTTGACAAGTTAACTCTTGAGACATCTGAGTGCAGTATTATGAAAGAACAAAACTGTTCATCAACCCTTTATGCCAATGTTAATTTCTTTTAAAAGTAGAATTTTAATGTTTTTTAATTCCTACAGTGACCCTTAAAATTTCTATGTCTATAATCACAAATGCACACACAAGATGCATTTATAAGCAGATTGTGTAGTTCTAAAGGCAGTTGGGAAACCCAATTTTAATTTTGTTACTGAAATAATTTAAAAATATATTATAGAACTGCCTCTTTTCAATCAACAGCAAAGATCTGGAAAGAGATAAAGGCGCAATTTATTCAGGTTTATTAGTGTTAGAAAAATGAAGTTGCCTTACTGCAAATTATAACAAATACTCTTCTATTTTTCTTCTTACCACTGACATCAATGTATACATTTTCTCATGCCTTAAAAAAAAAAAAACTCAGATAATTTATTTAATAAAGATGTCATTAACCACTGATAGGCTACAATCTCTGTATTTATTGTCAGCATATGTGTAAAAATTCCTGAAGATCTCGGAGAATATCTTCGTGGCTTGTAACTTTCATCAGAGAAAGGGGACTTACCGGCTTTTATTCATAAGATCTGCTCCCCGTGCTTTGTAATAGTCTAAATTTGGATGGAATTGGTAAGTCACTGGTCTTGGATTTCTCTATAGAAAAAAGAAATGTAAATGTATAAAGCTATTTAAATTACCCATTAAGACATAAAAGAACAAAGACAATTGTTTTTGTAGAAGGAATACATATGATAATCAAGTTCAATCATTAGCGTGTTTCGTTTTGCTTTCATTGTTGAAGTTTACCTTAACTGATCTTAGTCCTGATTAAACACTGAAATTATTTTATGTTTTATTTCTACCCGTCTCAAAGTTCACAAGAATTTATTCCTGTCATTAGATCTTTTTAAGTATCCTTAATGTACAGTATTATATTACTTTCAGGTGGACAATATGATTCAATGATTGTATACATTTCTCTGTGCTCAAGATAAGTGTAGATTTATTTCTGATGATTTTGATCACATTTAATATGACTTTCCAAAATACAATTAGATAAAATTATGACAAAACTAAAAAATTGTATGAGATGTAAAGCAAGAACAATGTAGGCCTAATGCCTGAGAGATACAAAGTGTTAAGAAAGCTGCATTTTGGAGGAAGAGTAAAAAATCGCTTAGTTTTTGATAACTAGAATGCCATATATGCCCACTAGATGGCACACCGAGTCTTTCTTCTCCAAAAACAAATGTGGTATTTTAGAATTTAGCAATTCTTTTAAAGTTAGAAATTTCTATGTCATCTATTCTTATATACGAGTTTAACAATTACCCTAGGAGTGGAAATATTAGCAGAGTGCCATCAAAATGGAAAATCAAACTACCGAATGCACATTTTCATAACAGCAGCAATACACTGGCCTCTCTGGCATTTGATATTATTCATAAATATTGCAAAAAAAAAAAAAAAGTCCTGAAATCATTAGGTCGGGTTTGTCAATTTAAATATGTTACCATCATTTAATGTGTCTATTATTTAAATGTATCAAGTCCATCACAGGCAAATAAAAATGAAATAAATTCTAGTTTATAAAACAGTTAATATGTTAAATATCATAATGAAAACAAATACCACTTCTAAAATGTTAAATTACATACTTTCCATTAAAAAGTTTGATAAAACTTATAAATAAATGTGTTCCAGTGTTCACCTAAACTTATAATTCAAGTTAATGAGTAGGACTTTGAACAGGGCATGTCCTGTCCTTTGAGAGATCTACTTAGCCACAGAAAGGCTTCATTTTATCTTAATAGAAAATTACCAATATACTTTGATATCAATCCTTAGAGCCATAATTCCAAGGCACTGATATACTTGTATGTAGGCAGGGGTGTATAATTGCTAAGGTTAAATAGTTTGAAATTCATCAAGCTAACAAGCTGCATCTTAATGGCCATGATGGACCTTTTCTTTTTCTGCTGAAAAGAGAGTATTTACACAGCTCAACCCTTTCATATCTCTTCCAAGTCAGCCCTAATCATCTGACAAAAATGACAATCCCTTGATTTAGCTCCAGCTACTACTCCACTGGTTTGGTATTCAACACAGTTCTACAATAATCAAATCTGAATTGCCTTGATGAAGAGGACTGATGCTTCCATGACTACCATACTATTAAGTCTAACAGTGCAACTTTTCTCTCTCTAGGAATTACACAGGTTTCCTCATGGTAGCTGATGACAACCTGGACCCAAGTATAACGGGAAAATAAAATAGAGGTTAAAGCTACTGGCAGATTGCCAACGCATTCATGATTTATTTAAAAAATTAACTTTCGCAGGACTATCACTCATGACTAATTTTGCTCTTTAGATTCTCACTACCTGGAAATACATTTTGTTTTCGCTAATAAAAAGGCTTTTCTTCTCCGACTCCCAACAAACTAATAAAAGATTATGTTACTTTTTGCTAGAAAACAATGAAATAAGGGATTGCATGGAGCAATTTCTTGAAACATCTTCATAAAGAAATGACAAGCAATTCAAGACACGAAGTGCTGATGTATCTAAGCACTTAAAGCCATTATTAGGAATAATGATCTAACTTGAACATATGAATGAGGCTCAAGTATTGCTTTCACAGAGGCCTATTTAAATTCCTAGGAGACTTACTAGTATCAAAGCGAGAGGCAGTTTAAAGTATGATGTACTGGGATGAAGAAAAAAAAAAAAAGAAACAAAAGATGATGTTGAAAAACAGCATTTGAAATTTGAGAAAATAAGATCAGAGGTTATAGTTGAAAGTTATCCAATAGGATTTTCTGAGAAGATGATGCTATTACTAAAACATAAATATGTCAACACATACACGATCTAGATTACCACTGTCCAACAGAAATACAATGTGAGTTGCAAATGTAAGCTTCATATGTGACTTAAGATTTTCCAGCAACCACATTAACAAATAGAAAGAAACAAGTTTAATTAAATGTAATATTTTATTTAATTCACTATATCCAAAATGTTGTCATTGTAACATGTAATCAATATAAAAATCATTGAGATTTTTTACATTCTTTCTTTTGTACAGTCTTTGAAATCCACTACACATAGTACACTAACGCACATCTCAATTTGGGCCAGCCATATTTCAAGTTCTCAATAGCCACATGTGGTCTGTGGCTACTGTAATGGACAGTATAGAACTCAATGTTTGGCATATACATTAAAAGTCATGTAGCTATAAAAATCAACATATATCGGCATGAACAGTAAAAGGGGCACAAATGCTTTTATACAGCAAGATTCAGTCCTGACAGCTCTTCAATTTACCTGTAATTCTTCTCTTTTAATTAAGTTCATTTTATCTCTTCTGAATAAGGTTTTAAAAAGTCAAGAAATTTTGGAACGATATCCTTTCACACAGCTATGTACCAAAATGATAACAATAGTTTCCTTAGGGGCATGGGATTAAATGAGCATAATTCTAACTTTATGCAACTGAAACACTTTAAAAGAGATACTTGCTTTTCATATTTAAAAGGATTTTTTTCCAAATAAAATTTTCTAGAATTGTAACAGTTCTGATTTTTAATTTTTAAATATCAGAATTTCCTCTAAAATATGAGCCGGTAGAAATGTACACATAGAAAGCTCTGTGTGTAAGAAAGGCTAGACTCCATGATAGTTGTAATTTTTCATTGTGCTGGACATGTGATGCCAACGGCTTTAATAGTATGTCTTTGCACGGACTGGAACAATTACTAATTATTTGAAATACATTTTCATCCAGACAGGATTTTGACTAGTATAAGCTTTTAGAAACCAATATGCATTATAAAAAACACACACTCTTAGTTAATCTTTCTTTGGACGAAAGATAGCAAAATGGTGATCATAACTTAGATCGATTTGTGTACAGAGGAATACCAATTATGTTCTGTTACCTGGGAGGTCTATATTAAATTATACAAGAAGATGCAGAAGTCACAAATTCAGTACACTCTCAGTTTACCATGCCTCTCCTAGACCAACCCGGATGGACTGGAGATAGATGGACTTGTATTCTACAAGACTGCAGCTAGTTAACTCCCAAGAACCACTGACTCAATTCCTCTCTGTCAGCAAGCTGTTGGAGCTCTTCTTAAACCTTTCTCTTCAACATTTTATTTTACTTCAATATAAGAAGAATGCTGAAAATCCCACCCATTCTACAGACAGGCTGGGTTTGGGGAGGCATCTTAAAGCCTTGTGGACAGAACGACTTACAGAAGCAGAAACAAGTGTCATAGAAGGAAGTATATGGGAAAACCCAACCCAATCCAACCCAACCCAACCAACCCATGCTGTACTTCTGAATTTCCAAAATGCTTCTGTTAATCTGGCATGATTACAAAATCAACTTACAAATAGTACTTAAAAGACCACAATCAATGTAAGGGCTGAAACTAATCGGAATCTATCTAACCTCTCCATTACAGTTAACATTCTACACTTCTGAGGTCTGTATTACATGTTAGTAAGCTGCACCTTAATGTGATCTCACACAAAACAAACATCCTGTCCCTTACAGAGTATGACTTCTGATGGTGGACTGTGCCCTACTCTGCAATGTGCTCTACTCTATGATGGAAGTCACAGATCAGCATATTACCCTCCTCCCTCTGCCACTCTTCCCCCAGTGAATATTTCAGTATTTTAAGTTGATGCTCACTTTGCGTGGTAGTATACAACTGTTTAAATGTTAACCCACACTAAGTACAACTAACTACAAGATGGGACAGGAATAATGAACTACAAGATGCTACATGACAGTTTTCCTTGTTCTGAGCCTGGTGAAATCAAACTCCTCCAACAAAGGTCTAGAAATAGTACTGTCTAGATCGGTCCCTCAACTAAACTCATCCTCCCTTGAAGATGACTATCTCTTTTTGAATTGTTCTGTGGAAACCACAGAAGGAAAAGAGTGTAAAGTATTCCTCCTGGAACTTGGAACAGCACAATGCCTCTCATAAGACTGGCTATTTACAAACACGTGTAGAATCAAAAGGAACAAAAGAAAAACAATCGCAGTGACCTTTGTGATTCCAGCTCTAATAGAGGAATGTGCCACTAAAAGTTAAAGTTAGGGGTTTAAAACAAAAGGACTAGGGTAAACATAACATCGACCATCTGCTTTAGAGGCACAGGCTGCCCGGCAGGGGGAGCAAAGGATCAGTAGATAGTGAGGCCCCTGCCAAGGCCCTGGACCCACCCACTCCTAGCCGAGCCCCTGGGAGGAGTCAGTTACACTCTTAGCTGTTAGTTTCCTCACTGAAAACTTGTGGTAAGAATCAAATGAGACAATGAACATGAGGTGCACAGCACAGTGTCAGGCACTCAACAAAAATTCAAGGAAAGGGAAGCAATGATTATCTTTCGGTAACACTGAGCACTGACAGACAGACTTTTGAGCGCAGATTTGACAGTCTGACAACTTAAAATCCATGATAACCACAGGTAGAGAAAGTGGTGTTGCATACTTCTGAAAATCACATATGAATTTGGGTGGATTTTTATCAAACGCTGTATTTTTTAAAAGCAAAAACACATATTTAGGAAAACCTCTCATGCAAAGTGGAACACCTATGTGGGGAAAGAGGCTATTTTACTTCT